GGAAAACAGTATTTGGCAAACAGAAGCCCAAGACCATTCATCAGCCTGGCCAGAGATCCACTTCTGTTTTTGAGTGATTTTGAATTCATTTCCTTGGATTGCCAAAATACCACTGACTCTCCAGGGCTCCTATGAAGGCAAGAACTTTACTTCTAATATTAAAAAAGAGCACAGTGAAAAATAGAAGTAGGCCAGCAGTTACAAAGACAACTCTTTCAGGCAGACTTTATCCATTAGTAAGAATGAGGAAAACATAAATCCCATTTTTATTCCTCTGCAGGTCACACACACATGTTGGCAGAGACAAAAAGTCTCTCTAACATTAGAGCTTATTCAACAGTTTAAAATAAACATCAGCAGACTAATTGTTATTTCAGTCTATCAGTGGAGCTCAAAATAGTTTAAAAAAGCACCATAAAGTTCATTTCTTAAGCGGGGAAGTGAGAGGTACAGGGAGGACACAAGTTGCCTCAACCGTTAGGATGCAGGCAGCACTCATTTGAGATAGTTTGGGTCCCAAACAAACCTTGTAGATCTTATTATGGTCTTCCTGAGGCACCCTACCAGGTAGGAACCTCAGCTCCAACCATCGCTCCCAGCTCCTCCAAGACACACGTGCCTGCTATGTGCTAGAGGTCACCCATCCGTGGGCCTTCCTGGTCACCTCCCAAGTCCCTTCCAGAGGCCCCCTCGAATTCTGCTGCTGGAACAGCCTCTCTCCAAACGCAGCCACCGCCACGTGGGTCCTGGAGCCCCACGGGCTCGCTCTGGGCAGGCGGCCCCGTGGCTCACGTACCACTGCCGGGACTTCCCGCAGAGCAGCGGCCCAAAGTGGAATACGCCCGTGTCCATGATGTACTGCTTGAAGACGATGTCATCTCGCCCCTTGCTTTTCCTCCGGTGAGGAAACACCACCCTGGGGAGAGGAAAAGATAGCTGGGCAGCTACGGACACGCTGCAGGTCAAAATCCCGTCAAAAGACCATAACCGCATCCCTTAATATTACCCAAGCTCCACGCGTGGGAAGAGACACTCGGCTGCTCAGGCAGGATGCCCAAACTGCCGCTTCCTGCCTTCCCAAGGAAAGGTGCCAGGCGGGATGGGCCCGGCTCTGGGCCGGGGCAGGCCAGAGGGTCTCAGGGCAGATGACGTGCGTGGCCGGGCTGCACGGTGCAGCCCAAGCTCTGCGCACGGGAGCATCCGCACGCGGGAGGCGGCGCAGGCCTTACCGGGGGTCCCGGCAGATGGTGGGATACACGCAGGTGCCCCTGCAGAACAGCTGGTACAGGCGGCGCGTCCCCAGGATCTCAAAGCTGTACGTCTGATCAAACTGGCCCGGCACGACGGAGCTGAAATGGATCTTCAGGACAACCTCCCCGTGGGCTGGCACAATCCAGCGGAAGTTGGTCAGCCTGGCAGTAAAGAGAGGACATTTCAGAGCTTGTTGAGGAAAGGGGGGACTGCAGACGTACCAGAGTGCAGAAGCCTCTTGGAATCGCCTCTCCCTCCGCTCTCCCAGCTCACCGGGCGACCTTCCCCGCGGACGAGTCCCGGCTGGCGCTGCCTTGGTCCGCATCGGCCTGGCGAGGCGGCGCTCCCGCCGCCGGGGCCTGTGGGCCCTTCTTGCCCCGGCCCGTGCCGCGCTTGTCCCTCGAAGACTCCCGGCTGCCCTCCGCTTTCTCCTTCCTCGTCCTGCCGCGGGTGGGGGTGACCTGATCCTCCTCAACACCACAGGGGAAAGAGGGGAGAGACGAGTGACAACAGCCCCCAAAATATCCCTGCCCTGGGGTTATTTTCCAAGGAGCAAGTTTGTTGACGAACAGGAGACGGAATAAGCCACCAGGCCCTGCTCCACTCTGCTTTCCTGCCCTCCGCCTCCATCTGGCCTCCTCAGATTTCATTCTGAAAAATCCTTCCTTGCTCAAACCCTCTCCTTGATCACGAAACTCAGCACAGAGCTATAGGCTTCCCGTTCATATATCCTGGGGGGATCTGAACACTGTTCTGCTTTTCTTCCCTTTCCAGTCCTCCCGCCTTGGTGAGCTGACTTGAAGAAACTGAGCTAAGCCACAGCAGACCTAAGAGGGGAGCTTCGAGGGCCTTAGGTGAAATGTTTTCTTTTACAGAACAGCCCTATGGCAGGATGACTTTGGAGGATGACAAGAGGGCCGTGGGGAAGGGGACCTCCGTTGGCCACTTTGGGCAGCTGGGCACCCAGCCCACGTCCCTGTGAAGCTGCAACAACTGCCCTCAAACTGGGCTGCCACAAGAGCTTCAAGGCAGCAGCTGTGAGCGGGGGCATTTCCTGACACACCAAGGCCTATGTCCTCCCTGGAAATGAAGCTCTTCCAGGTGAACAAGGCCATGCTGACATTAGGGCCATGCTGACATTAGCCTGGATCCTGGCAGGCACGGGGTCCCGTCATTCTTCCACAACTCACCTCCTCCTGCATCTCGCCCACCCCTCTGCCCCCTGCCAGCCCAGCCCTTTTCCCGCTACCTTCGGCACCGGCGTGACAGCGACATCCATGAGACTCTCCGTATCCTTCTTTTCTTCTTCAGCAGTTGCACCTTCTGGTGCAACAAAGATGAAGTGCTCAAGGTCTTCGCCCGCTGCAGGGGGTGACCGCTTCTCTGGGTAGCGGATCACAGAGTAAAAAGCAGGAGGAGGAATGGGAGGTCCCGAGGGACCCAGTCCCAGGCTATCCAGGATCTAAAGCATAAGAGAAAGCCCCATTAATAGATCAGTCACGATCCGCCATCCTGCTGCTCCTTCCTCAAGGCACAAAACTGCTGGAGACATTTGCTAAGGGAGCGCAGTGCTCTTTGAAGCCTTGTGAGATGGGCAGGCTCCAGAGCAGTGCTAGGACGTGCCCACAGGACGTGCCCACCCTGCGTAACACAACTGTAAGGACCAACAACCATGGCCTGCCCTGTCCTGGGTCTGTTTCTATTTACTCCTCATCCAGGAAAGCCTGTGGGGGAGGACCAGGCAGGACGCTTGAGCAGAGAGCATGGGGCATGAGTAACGGCAAGCGTAAAACTTCTCTCAGGGTTGCTGAGAACTGTCCCTGTCACGTGGATGCTGCAGAGCCCCCATGGAAGATAGTCAGCAGCTTGGACAAGGCTCTGTGTTGTTGTCACCTACCAGGAGGTGACGCACCAGAGCCCAGGCCATGGCTGGCTCAGCATCCAAACTTCTCAGGTTTTACCTGGTCTACATCGGGCAGCTTGCCGCTCTCCAAGATCCTCTTCCCACTGGCATCTTCGGAGCTCAGCACCTGGATTTCCAAGCAGGGCACTCTGGTATCCTGTTCTTTGCCCGACTCTTCCGCACCTTCCTTTTCCTGCCCAGGAGGCTTGGAGTCCTCAAGGGCCTTCAGTTTTTCCAGGCGCTCCTTCTCCAAGCGTTCCCTTTCCAGGCGCTCCTTCTCCAGGCGTTCCCTCTCCAGGCGCTCCCTCTCCCTGTCCTTCCGGCTCTTGCGGCTGGATGAAGGCTGCCGCTGCTCTTCTGCCTCAGGCTGGACATCTTCTAGGTCCAAAGGGGAAAGCAGGACACCCTGAACTCGGTCCCAGAATGACAAAATATGAGTGATGCCCTTCTGTGAGGCCTCATAGAGCTTGAACCTCCGGGCCAAGCTCTTCTCAGCATCACTCAGTGCCTCCTTCTCGGTTTTGTCCTGTTCTGCCTCTGCAGGTGACATAACCACCACTGGGCGGGCATCTGCCTGGCCAGTCTTGTTCCTCTTCTTCTTCTCTTCCTTGTCACTTGAAACTGAGTCTGGGTGCTCCTTTGTAGACCCCCTCCTGTCATCCCCTTCGTTCAGCTTGTTATCTGAGTGACTGCTGGAAACATGCACAGCCTGGGAAGGAGGAGGGGGAAAGGAAGGGAGCGTTTCAAAGCATTAATTCAGATGCTGTGGGGGTGGGCACAATCTCTGCTGGGGTGTCCCAGAGCCTCAGCTGACACCAAGCCTTCCACCAGCTACACCAATGAGGAGTCCTACAAACTAGCTGAAAACAGAAGAGCTTTCCCAAACCAAACAGGGAACTTCAGACAACTCCTTATTCCTAGGCAGGCCTCGGGAGTGTCACTTTGGAGTGCTGAGCATCCCTGTGGCTGGCTGACACTTTGGGAAGGCTGGTTGCTGATGAATACTCAGGCCAGCATAGAGCCCACATGATCCCAGAAAAGCAGCCATCTTACAGACCTGGGGGATAACATCCCCAGCAAAGAAGCAGCACAAATACCAGTTGCTGTTCCTCTGCAGTGCCACATCCTACTGCCACATACCCGTCCCTGGGCCCAGCACTGCGTGTGTGAAGGACCAGCTGATAGCTTTTCTTGGAACGAGGCAACTCAGTGGTAAGGTCCCAAGGACTGTTACTCATCTCTATAAACATAACCACCCACCTGCTTGGTTCCAAACTGGCTTTTCTTCCCTGAGTCTTTTTCTTTGCCAAGGTCTTTCTTCCCGCGCTTTCCCTTCTTCTTCAGCTCTTCTTCCTCCTTGAGGCGTTCTAGCTCCTGCTGGAGCTTCTTTTCCTCCAGTTCTCGAGCCAGCCTCTCCCTCTCCCTTAAGCAAGTCAAGCAGAAAACATCCCTGAGTCACCCTTGGGAAATCTTGGGCTCGCTTGAATCCCAACTGATTGCGGGCTTGGTTCCTTGACCTTGTTGAAGTACATGTTCACTGAAACAGGCCCCTAAGTTCCCCTAGTTTCAGCAAGGAGGAGCAGTTCAGAGGAACAGTCCAGGCTTGCGTTTATCACAGACACCCTCCTGCCTGGGCTGCTCTGCTGAAGGAGGACCTCTCCCAAACTCACCTTTAGCTACAAGTGTGTTTTATGGCTGGTGTCACTCAATGAGCACAACCCCATGAGACCAGCTTGCCAGGACTTAACCTACAGCAGAAATGGTATCCAAAGCAAGCCTCAGAGGGATCCATACCATGATCCCATCCCTTCTGCTGGGGGAAGGAGCAGAGATGAGGAGGCAACGCAGTAGTCTCATCTGGAGTATTGTGTCCAGTTCTGGGCTCCACAGTACAAGAGGGATGTGGAGCTGCTGGAGAGAGTCCAGCGCAGGGCTACAAGGATGATCAGGGGCCTGGAACATCTGCCCTGTGAGGAGGGACTGAGGGAGCTGGGCCTGTTCAGCCTGGAGAAGAAAAGGCTGAGAGGGGATCTAATCAGTGTATATAAATACCTCAAGGGAGGGAGTGCAGAGGACGGTGCTGGTCTCCTTTCAGTGGTGGCCACTGATAGGACTAGAGGAAATGGCCGGAAACTGAAGCACCAAAAATTCCATAGGAACTTAAGGAAAAATTTCTTAACAGTGAGGGTGACAGAGCACTGGAACAGGCTGCCCAGAGAGGTTATGGAGTCTCCTTCTCTGGAGATCTTCAAAACCCACTTGGATGCAGTCCTGTGCCACGTGCTTTAGGTGACCCTGCGTATGCAGGGGGGTTGGACTAGATGACCTCGAGAGGTCCCTTCCAACCCTAAGCATTCTATGATTCTATGCCTCTTAGTTCAGGAGCAAGGCAAGTAGAGCACTCAGCTCCTGCCAAGCCCAAGAGAAAATGTTTCACATCTCACTGGAGGAAGCTCTTTCCTCTGTCAGGAAGACGTGAGGTGGAACAGACCTTCCTTGCGCTACTGGTGAGAGAGGTAAGAGGCTTTGGGCTTTCCCTCCATATCCCTCTGAGTCCACCCAAGGGCTGGGCAGAGTGCTGGGACATTGCCTGTAGGAGGGTCACAGACCTCTGTTTCCTCTCGCGTAGGACTTGTCGCAGCTCATTATCAAACTGATTTTTCTGCTCCTCAGTGAGGCCATCATATCCTTCCTCATCCAGCTCCTGGAGACGGGCCTTCTCCCTCATGGCAGCTTCCTTCTGCTCCCGTTCTTCAACACAGACCAGAAGAGAAATCATTAGCAGCCAGAGCTTGTAGTCCTGGGTGGCCTGCGGGTTCACAACTCCTGCTCACCCACCCCAGCTCGTCATTCCCCCACCCCTAATGTGGTTACTGAAGTCAACGTTTGGTGAACCCGCAAGCTATTGCCAGTCAGTAGGTTCCTGTGCCTTGCCTGGCTCACGTGCAGAGTCCCAGAAACCATGGGTTGAGGGCCTGAGAGAGAACATTTGAGAGGTACTGAGATGAAGAATCTCACCTTCCTGTTCTTTTTGTTCCTTCTCCCTAGCTTTCATAGTAGCATAATCCTGGAACAGGTTCACAAAATAGATGTGAGGTCGATTTTGGACAGCCCTGAGCAGGCAGAGCAGAGCAGAAGTCATGTTGCGGGCAAAGGGGGTCTCCAGGCCATCGAACACCACTCCTTGGTAGCAGTCACTCAGCTGTGAAGCAAATCAGAAGAGAAAGCCAGTAGTAGGGAAGAAAGTAGAAGAGAGTAGTAGTTCAGCTACAAAGAAAACCGCACGTCAAAGGACATCAGCTATCACTGTCCCAGGTGAACCAGCTCCGACCTTT